GACTCGATGGTAACAGGAAATGGCTGACTCGATGGTAACAGGAAATGGGTGACTCGATGGTAACAGGGAACGGGCGACTCGATGGTAACAGGAAACGGGTGACTCGATGGTAACAGGAAACGGGTGACTCGATGGTAACAAAGAACGGGTGACTCGATGGTAACAGGGAGCGGGCGACTCGATGGTAACAGGGAACGGGCGACTCGCTGGTAACAGGGAACGGGCGACTCGCTGGTAACAGGGAACGGACGACTTGCTGGTAATAGGGAACGGGTGACTCGCTGGTAACAGGGAACAGGCGACTCGCTGGTAACAGGTAACTCGGTGGTAACAGGGAACAGGTGACTCGATGGTAACAGGTGACTCGGTGGTAACAGGGAACAGGTGACTCAATGGTAACAGGTGACTCGATTGTAACAGAGAACAGGTGATTTGATGTTAACGGAACAGGTGACTCAATAGTAAAAGGAAACAGGTAACTCGATGGTAAAAGGAAACAGGTGACTCAATGGTAACAGGGAACGGGCGACTCACTGGTAACAGGGAACGGGCGACTCGATAGTAACAGGGAACGGGCGACTCGCTGGTAATAGGGAATGGGCGACTCGCTGGTAACAGGGAACGGGCGACTCACTGGTAACAGGGAACGGGCGACTCGATAGTAACAGGGAACGGGCGACTCGCTGGTAATAGGGAATGGGCGACTCGCTGGTAACAGGAAATGGGCAACTCGCTGGTAACAGGGAATGGGCGACTCGCTGGTAATAGGGAATGGGCGACTCGCTGGTAACAGGGAACGGGAAACTCACTGGTAACAGGGAACGGGCGACTCGATAGTAACAGGGAACGGGCGACTCGCTGGTAATAGGGAATGGGCAACTCGCTGGTAACAGGAAATGGGCGACTCGCTGGTAACAGGGAACGGGCGACTCGCTGGTAACAGGGAACAGGCGACTCGATGGTAACAGGAAACGGGTGACTCGATGGTAACAGGAAACGGGTGACTCGATGGTAACAAAGAACGGGTGACTCGATGGTAACAAAGAACGGGTGACTCGATGGTAACAGGGAGCGGGTGACTTGATGGCAACATGGAACAGGTGGGGTGGAAGAGCAAGTGCATAGACTTACTTTGGAAAATACCAGGATAATGACCGAGTGACTCAGAAGAAACAGAACTAAACACAAAAAGCTCCAAACAGATCCTGACAGCCATCTTTATGTTTCTGAGCCCACCCAGCAGCAGGGGGGTTGTTGGGTACAGGAGGCCATTCAGGTCGTAATGATCCTCTGACAGGGCGACTCTCTTCAGGTGGAGCCTGGAGACGAGCAGGACCCTCAGTTTCTGTGATGAGGGGAGAAGTCTTTGAGCCTCTAAAGACCTGGAGGCTCCTCTGTTCCTGTTCAGAGATTAAACGAAGGATGTTTTGTTTCTCTGATCAGACTTCCAGCTTCAGAGGAGGAGCGGCTCCCCTCTGAGGTCTACGTCACCTCATTATGGGCTTATTTTACCAATCATCACAAATTTAATAACCTTCAGGATGAATCACTTTTGTGAGGTGTAAAATGAAAGTTCAGTGCAACAACGAAAGAAGACGCTCAGACCGGTGGTTTTATTTGGAGCTGAAGGTTTTTCTGGATCTCTGACACGATGGATAGAAAATCTTCACTTGCAGATACTTTTTTATGGTTTTCTTCGGCTGTTTGATTTCTTTAGGTGATTGTTTTAGCAGTCGCAATAAAACTGCATCCATTTTGACCTTTTAGTTTTCTTTTTTAATGTGACTTTATGAAAAAAGAAGCAGCAGAGAAAGGATCAACAGCTTCAAGTGGGCGAACTTTAGCTAATAAAATGATCTCTCCAAAGCAGGATTGTTTATCGTTTTAGCGTTTATCTTTAGCAGAAGGGGCTCGATTATTGGAGTTGTGCTGTTTGACAGTAGTCAGGTTTAAAAAGTAATCACTAATCAAAGGATGGTTTTAGCACATGAAAGGAATGCATATCACCCGACAGAGTTGG